ACAAGCATCAGAAATGCCAACCTTCCTGAGAGACTTCTGTGATATTTATTGAGAATGGGAAGGGTCAGTTTGTGCCCAAACACATGGAAGAGGTGCTGCTGAAACTATCCTGCATATTAAGTGTTCTCCCACTCCCAGAAAGAATTCTCTTCCTTCTGGCTTGTCCAGTTAACTCTCTACCAAACCCAAACCAAATCTCCATTTTACTCAGCTCTACAAATGGCTTTGTGCAGAGCCCAGCTGGGAGGATTGTTTCTGCTGGAAGCAGTTCTGAGGTGGTGGGACCATGATGTGCTCGGAGACCACGGATTTCAGGAGCTGGGGCCGTGTCCTTCAGTCCAGTGAGGGCATCAGCCCACAGCTCCTGTGGGGGAGGTGGTGCCTGTGTAGGTCTGTCCCTAGCAGGGCAGGCAGCCCTGGGTTTGTGCGTGGTGCTGAACTGTCACCTCTCTGGAACAGGTGATTAGGCAGGAATGCAGCCACTTTCATTCCTGAGCTGCACAATCCAATTCACCCGCCCTCGCTGGGTCCTGATCAGTTCAGCCCAGTGGTTCTGGCACTGCTCGCTTTGTGACCCCTTCTCAGTGAAATGGAGCCAGCTAACTGAGAAAAGCCAGGTGGCTTTTCTCTCGTGAACCACCTGGAATGTCCTCCAGGGACCCCCAGGATGCAGAGAAGCTTGGAAAAAGCGAGCAGTTTGGAGTAGGAAAGAAGCAAACATTGCTTTTGGGGATGGCTCTGTGTGTTGTGGTGTGAATGCTCCTAAGCATTCACAGGGGATGGATGGATGATGGATGGATGATGGATGGATGATGGATGGATGGATGGATGGATGGATGAAGAGGTCCATTCTGCACCCTGTGGGCTTAGGGAGCACTGTGCAAATCCCATTGGTGAGAAGGGAGGGAAGATGAAGTTTCCTGTCAGTGTCTTCTCATCCATTAAATGATTGCTCTAACTATGTTATCCAAGAATTAAGCTTTGATATGTGAGTGTGTGGCTCTTCTGGAACCTATTTTAGCTGGGTTGTATGTTACCTTACACTTCTCCACCCTCTGCAGTCCCTTTTCTCTCTCACTGTTGGATGCCAGGCTGTAAAACCATCCAGAATCTCCAGGGGTGAACTGTGAGTCCAAATCAGCTTCTGCTGAGGGGTGCAGGAGGTTCAGAAAGTCAGTGGGGTGCAGGTATGTCTTTGTCTGGTGTCTGCCTATGGAAGCAAACTGCACCTCCATCTTTCTGAGTAAGCCTGGACGCCCTTTGAGATCTTCTCAGGCTGCTCCCCATGTGCTCTGGAAGGTGAGGATTTCTTGTGTCCTCCAGTGTCCAGGTGCCTGAAGCCATCACTGCTTTTGCTGAGTCAGCAGAGAGCAGGCACCTCTCAGCATCTGCTGAGGGAGGGGTCTGTTCAAGCTCCAAGCAGGAGTCTGCAGACTGTCTCCAAATGGAAGCAAACCATTGATTTTGTTGTTCCATTCAGCTTGAAGGGTCCACAGTAACATCCTGAACCTACACCATGAATGTGATTAGATACTTGCTGGCATCAACACCCCTATTCCCTCTGGAAAAACACATTGTCAGTGGGGATCAAGACATGAAATCTGGGTCTGTAGCCCCAGAAGGAAACTGTCTAAATCAGCAGCTTGCAGGCCAGGATCTGCAGATCCTCTGTTGTCTGTGAAAGTCTTCCAAAAATTAAATAGGGTGTGAGAGGAGGCGATGTTTCTTTGGAAACAGCTGGAGAAAATGGATCAAGTGAAACCCCTCTCTCTGAGCAAGTACCAGTTCCTTGGGATGCTGCAGAACATCACAGTAAATATGCTGGTGATGAGCATGCATGAGACCCTAAAGGAGCTGCTGTTTGGATCATTTTGTTTGCTTGGTTGGAATATTCTTTTTGAATAAGCAGCAATATATTCTCTGCCATCCTGGATGCATGCCAGTAAAAGTCCTAAACCTTCCTTCCTAGCATCTGTGTATAATATAAAGGGTCATTTATAATCTCTGTAAGCCATGATGGGGCCTTTCATCACGTTGTCTGAAGCCTGCTTGCATTCTGGAGGCTGTTCTTGCTGACTTTTGGCTTGCAAAGAGAAGGCTTGGGATGGTTTTGTCTGTCTGTCTTCTTTCTGTTGTAATCATTGTGCTATTTTATCTGCAGTGAGTCCCAAGCTGGATGTCCTAATGCATCCTGTGTTCCTGTTTTTGTCTCACCTGCCTGTGTGTCACAGTAAAAACCCCTAAAAGTTGTATTTGTATATGTAGGAAAATTATGCTATTTATGGGAAGCCAAGAGTGTGATGTACCTTTCACTCCTGGGTGTGAGTACCTTTGTAACCAAACCCTCTCTTCTGTTGGTAAAGAGAGAAGTTGGAGAAATCTGTGTCCACATTTAATTAGCTGAGTATCTTTGAGGTCTGCCCCTTTTTTTTATGCTCACACTGGTGCTTCTGCTTTAGAGATGAGGTGATAAGTGTGGTACTTTATCACTGTCACTGCTCTCTCTGTGCTCCTGCACAGGAAGGTGAAAGGTTGTCCCTGGATTTGAGTGAAGGATCTGTTACCCTGCCATGAGCTGCCAGTCGTGTTCAGCCTGGCAAACCCAGGTGATGGCTTCAGGCAATGCATGGAGAGCCTTGGGGAGCTTCTCACATCCTGTAGTGATTGATGAGGAACCACTGAGGGAGCTGGGGGTGCTCAGCCTGGAGAAAAGGAGACTCAGAGGTGACCTTATCACTCTACAGCTCCTGAAAGGTGGCTGTGCTCAGGTGGGGTTGGGCTCTTTCATCAGGCAGCACTGACAGAACCAGAGGAGACAGCCTCAAGCTGCACCAAGGGAAATATAGGTTGGATATCAGGGAAAAGTTTTTCACAGAAAGAGTGATAAAGTTCTGGAATGGCTGCCCGGGGAGGTGGTGGAGTCCCCATCCCTGGGTGTGTTTAACAAAGCCTGGATGTGGCACTGGGTGCCAGGGTTTGGTTGAGATGTTGGGGCTGGGTTGGACTCCATGATCTTGAAGGTCTCTCCCAACCCAGTGATTCTGTGAATTCTGTGAATGCAGGGCTGTGATTTTCCCAACCCCTCTCATTCTCACTCTTTCTCCTGGCTGCTTTTCCTTCTGTGCTCAACTGGCTGTTCCTATGGCATGAGGAAATATAACCCCTGTCTGGACAAACCCAATGACTAAGGCTTGGAGAGACCAAATGGCTGATTGCACCAGGTGTGCAAGTGAAATGTGAAAGAAAACTTTACTTCACATTTTCAGCCTTTAGCTCCTGTTGTTTCTCCTGGTCCCGCTCCCTAAACTTTGTATGGAAGCTCTGCTGATCCTGTTAAAGGATCTGATGTCATCATGTGATCCGAACCTTCATTAACTTTATCTTTCCCCCCTTGTTTTGATGCTGCAGATGTCAGTGGAGACATTTGAGTACTCCAGTGCCTGATCTTTATTTACACACCACAGATCCCTGACAAATCTGAGATAAGTGGTTCTGAAAGACCTCTCTGCCCACCTGGGGTCACCTCAGGTGTGCCCACAGTCCACACTCCCTGCTGAGGAATCCCAGGGGGGTTTATGGTGAGCAGGGGCAGTGTCTCAGGGAAAGCTGCAGGGCTGAGCCTTGTCCTGCTGCTGGGCTCGTGGCACTGGGCACAGAGCCACCCCTCCCTGGGTGTCCCAGCCTTCCTGGCCGGCTGTAGCCCAAGGGTCAGCGAGCAGCCCGCTGGCCCCATGTGGTCCTGGCATGTGTGCCTCCTATTCATGGAACTGGAGCTGTGCAGAGAGCAGGGATTCCTGTGGAGATGGGAGGGAATGCAAAAAGGGGGAAAAAGCAGCAAATGCTGTAAATGGTGTATTCGGGGGAAATCGAACTGACATAGAGGAGATGGTTTAGGGAGGGAAAAGGGAATGTGCAGGTGCATTTCCACTTTGATTTTTGGTGTGTAAGGTTGGGGAGTCCCTGTGGTGCTTGAAGGGATCAGCTCTATTGAGGGCTCCTGCCTTAAGATCGATGGGGAGCCAGGACTCTGGCTCTGGTACAGCAGGGAATGCTTACACAAGCACTGGGTGTGTTTTGGAGCACAAGTTGGTGTCTCCATGTCCCACAGTGACCCCAGTTCTGATCCCCAGTCAGTAGGAAAGTGACTATCAAGCCTGCTAACTACACTTATGTACAAAAGCATTACAAAACATTCCACACCAAAACATTCTCAAAAACATGAACCAGTGTTTGGCAAAGATGAGCAATGCTTGCAAGGGGGAAATTTTTTGTACCACCTCAAATATGTCACTAGAACCTAAAACTTTTTTTTTTTTTAGAGAAGGTCCCTGAAGAGTCTTTAGGTCTGAATTCCCTGTGCTGACTCTGCAATTCCTTTTGTCTCACACACCTGGCAGTGAGGGGTCTGTCTCTCTCTTGAGACAGTGTGAGACACTCATCCCTCCCTCCCCTGCATTTTCTCTTGCCCATTTTTAGGCAGAAACCTCAGCAGGACAACAACAGGATTTGTTCAGCACCCAGCTTGCTAAAGCTCTGCTGACAGAGAACTCCACCACACCAAAAAAAAGAATTTTCCTACTCTGCTCTTTTCAGAATGGTGGGAAGCTGGGGAATGATACCATAACAAGCAAGATGGAATTAAGACCAGTACAATGGGAGCTGACTATCAGGAGATTTGGAATATGTCTTTTTTTTCCCCAAGTCCTATTGTTTCTGATAAGTCACAGAACTAAATTATGCACTGTAAAATTCTGGCCTCTGACAACCAAGCAAGAGGCATTACTGGATCTGTGGCTCAGGTTGGCAGGAGCTGGGAACCTTTCTGCAGCTATTGGAAGGAGAGGGTGGGGTGAGACGTGAAGACTGCAAGTTAGCCTGGCTGTGGCTGGCAGAAGAAACCTCCCCACCCCAGATCCTTGGTCTGTTTTTCCTGCAGTCTGTGTGTTGGTTCCCTGGCTGTCTCACTGGGGCTCACTAACGTGTGTCCTCTCTCTCTGCAGGCACTGGTGTCACTACACAGTCACAAGGACGGTCTCCTGCCAGGTGCAGAACGGGTCAGAAACGGTGATCCAGAGAGTTTATCAGAGCTGCCGCTGGCCAGGACCTTGTGCCAACTTAGTGAGGTAAAAATCTTCGTGTCTCATGCTGCCCCATCCTCCTGCCCTCCCCCTTTGCTTGGTTGGCTGGTGAGTGCTGCAGAGAGGGCTGAGGGCAGAGGCTCAGGTGGGATGTCCTGCTTTGGGGTGCTGAGACTGGAGAACACCACTGGTGATAACTGCAGGGAAATCACAGGTGAAGGTAAGTGTAGCATTGTTTCCAGTTTTAGGAGCTCTCTAAACATAGTCAGGGTCTAATTCAGAAAGGAGACATGGTTTATTCTATGCAGTGTGGAGGTTCCCACAAATCAAGCACACCGAGCTGTAAAATATTACGTCTTTTATGCAGGAATGTTTACATGAACCCCCTGACTCGTATACATTCTCCACCTACCTAATGCCTATTTATTTGGGTGATATAATCTTACACAAGATGCTTGAAACACAGAGTTCTTTTCTTTCATTAAGCAACTTCTATTGTAGGAGTTATGTGACAACATCAGTTACATTTACAAAAGAGGAGAAAATTCAGCCTGGGGACAGATAGCTCAATTCAAAAACATCAGTATTAGGACAAGTTTATGTGAAACAGTTTAGCTCCAGCTGTAGTGCCAGTTTGTGCTTCTCCACACAGGAGGCTGCTGCTGGTCAGGTCTGGAAGCAGAAAAATGTTCAGTGTGAGTGGACAGGTGAACAGGGATGCTGGGTCAGTGGTTCTGTGGGACTTGTTGGTATCAAGTCTCCACCCTCAGGGCTGTAGTGCTAATATTGATCACATACACTGGAAAGCTGTGATCAAATGGAAAGCTGTGATCAAATCCCTTAGAGGCAATGGGGGACAAAGTGTGTCCTCTGTCTTTCAGGGTGGAATTTCTTTAGACTTCTTGGATTTCAGTAGCCTTTAAAGACACGTCAAAACAGAACGTCCTCTCCTCAGACAAGGAACAAAGCTTAAAAACAGCTACATGTTAAAAACTTGCCCTGAGCCTGCTTTGCCTTTTGATCATTTATAGTCTTGGAACCTACATGTAAGAAGGAAAAAAAAAACAAGTGTGAAATAGCTGTCCCCAGCTACCACCTTTCAGTAAAATGTCTGAATTGTTGTGCTTTGCCTTCTCTGAAAGGCATTCTCAGAGCAGAATAGTGTTATCCACCCATTTGGGAATTGGGGCAAAAAAGCCATTGTGCTCTAAATTTGCACCTAGCTTCTAAAACAATTTCCCAAGTAGACAAGCCATAACTTAGCTCACAGAGCTCAGTCATTTTATTGTTATTGTTACCAATTCATCCACAGGGCACTGGTTGAGGTCCTCCTGTAGTTGATAACCTGGCCAGAAGGTGATGGCAGGCTGAGCCCCACATCCCTGTTCTTGTGACACTTCATCTAGAACTCACATCTTGCATGGGGCTGTTCCCATTGTTGGTTCTCCAGTTTCCACTTGGCCAGTGGTCAGTCTCAGTTTTTTCACTTGTAATATATCTGCTTTGGTGTCTCTTTTGTCTTTATGCAAAGCTGTGGTTGAAACACTTCATATTTTACACTGTCATGGCCAAACTTCTGTTGAAGCTTTTTAATTTCCCAGGCTTTTTAGGCACATAATTGTCATTAGAAACTTGTGAGCTTTCACCTTGTCTCCTAAACTTGCCAAAAATCTTACTTATTTTTTTTCTTTTTAACACAACTGGAATTTCATAAAAACCAAACATTTGATTATGTTATTAGTAAAAATTCTTTTTGTGTGCCCGTGCAGTTGATTGATGCCGTTGATTCTTACATTAAACCAGAGACTTTAGGAGTAGTGTGTGCTGTTGTGACATTGTTCATGGAACATTTTCAGTTTCAAATGTAGTTTGGCTTGTTTGCCTGATGAGTCCAATTGTTTGGAGACAATGCAGAACAGCAGAAGACATCTCAATTTTTCTTTCTGTGTGAAAATATCATGGAAAGAAGCTGGGGTTATTAAATATTCAAGATCTCAGCTGGTGAAAGCTCAGCTAACAGGAGCTGCATTTTTTGAAGATGATTGCTATGGAGAAGCCTTCCTGAAGAGATGGGAGGACATCAATGCTCTGTTCCCTTTGGGCTGGGAGGAAATGCAGGACAAGAGGATGGAACCCTTCCAGGGGAATGCCTGTATGCCTCTAGGCACATACTGTATGACATTCTTGCATAAACTAGAGAAAGACCCTGCACCTCTTTCCCAAGGACCTCTCAGAAAGCTGCTGACAAAATTTTGGAACTCATCCACTTATCATCAGAGGTAAAACAGGTCCTTGATAATTTCCCTTACTGCCAGTGTCCGAAAGGGAGAGCTCCAAGGAAGAGTAACAACAAAGGTGGGATCTGAGATCCTGAGAGTTGAATGGGCTGTTGGATAAGTTATCCCCAGCCAAGACATCTTTTATAAGTGGCTGTTTGTTTTCAGCAATGCACCTGATTTTGATAAGAGAATGAAAAACAGCTGCTGAAAATGATGACTCTTGTGACGTGTATTGCTGTGGACAAAGTTTGGTACCCTGAGCCAGGTTGTGTGATTGAGGTGTTGTTTTCTGTGCACACAGCAGCCTAGCACAAACCCATAGGGATGATTGAGGTGGCTTTCTTTGTTCTTGAAGTCAAGCTGAAATACTAAAACTACTTTATTTATTTTTTTTTTAATACCTTTTCCTCCTCTCTCGCCGAAATGAGTATTGTCTTTTTAGGAAACCAATCTCTCTCCTACTTCAGGTAAACCCCACCTCCTGTTTTGAGATGAAGACTCCTCATGTATAAAGGACAAAAATAAGAAAAACAGTTCCCAAAGTCACAAGGCAGTGTAGTGCCTTTCCTGTTAAGAAACTGGCTTCAAAGGGGCTTGTAAGAATTTATCAGCCACTGAGCTGTACAACTTCCTTTGACAGGTCTCTGAAGATCCTGCAGAAGATGAACAGAGAACAAAACTCAGCCTGGCTGCCCTACTTGTTTCTGTTTCCTCCTTACCATGTCTGTACCAGTCTCTCTTTTTGGGATTTCTGGAAGCCTAGCTTTAGGCAAGGTCGGGCTCGTTCTATGTCTGGTAGTGGCTAAAAATGTTCTTGCTCTCTATATCCCTGCAGTTGTTCAGGTAATATAAATATATCTCCTTTTCTTTTGCTACAAAAGTAAATTTAAAGTGTCTTTTGGCCTTCCCCTATTCTTCTCCAGGGAGATTTATGGTGCCTGAGCATGAATTGAAGGGCACAGAATGTTCTGTGTGACTGTAAGCAATGCAACGTGTCACCAAGCCATTGGCATCATTTTGGCTTTGTAGTGTTCCTCCCAGCTGTGATTTGAAACAAACTGTTTTCATCTCCTTGTTTACAGGAGTCAGCCATATCTGGGAGAGCCTTCATTCTGCCAGCACCCCTTATCAGGCTGCTCACTAGCAAAAGGGATGTCAGCCAAGGAAAAAGGCATCTTTCAGACTCGTGGTGACAGCTGAGAGGGGCTCTCTGCTGCAGAGACTCTCTGAGAGCAGACATCGCTGGGGCCAGACAGGATTTAATCCCTTTCCTGTCTCCCATTCATTCGAGTTGGGTTTCTTTCCCTTACTGCACAAACTGCAGCTCAGGGTCAAGCCTTTGCCAGAGGAGGATCTGTGAGATCCCAGCCTGCAGCCCTGGCTGTGGGATGTCCTTGCTGTCCATCCGCTTGCTCCTGGGAAGCTGCAGCAGAGCTGCTTTGGCAGGAGTGTCATCATCTTGGCTGGGCTGGGATGAGCTGCTCAGTTCTTGCCCTCTGCCCCAGGCTCTTTATTTAGCTTGGGTGCTGAGTTGCTCTGGAGCAGTTTTGGCTGGAGGATTTCCCTCAGCAGATCTGTTCTTGAGCTCTCTCCATGTGTGCAGGGAAGGCCACAGGCTGTGACTTGCCGTGTCAGGCTCGGGGCACACGGGCAGCTCTGCAGCAGCCCGGCTGAAGCTCCTGGGCTGCTTCAATCCCATGGGCCATTTGTCTGGCTGAAGAAAGGGACACAGTCCCTACCTCGGGGTTTCAATGGGAATCTAATCTCTGGATGGTTGTCCTCTGGTAAACCCAGGCATCCAAATTGTCACCCTTTTCCTCAGCAAACCTTTTGCTGCAGCAGCTGCAGGGTGATGCCCAGTCCTGCCCCACTTGGGACACTGCTCTCCTCAAGGCTCACTCAGAAAGGTGATTTTGAAGGCCAGGCAAGGATTTGAGACCTACATTCAGTTACTGGAGCTTCTGTGATCTCCTGTGCCTTCAGGCCAGCATTGCTACCTCACCTGTAAGATGAAAACAGTGCTGCTTTGGTCTTACTGTGTTTTATGACACAATAGGGCAGCTTCTTGCTATACTCTAGTTGGCCAAAATCAGCCTACTTTTGATTAGAATATTTGTGTATGATTGTTGTGGCCAGTAAAGTAGTGTCTTGGGAGGTAAATGGATGGGATGAGTGGCCTTGTTGATCATGTGCTATTATAGCCTTCACAAGACAAACACTTTCTGCTTCAAACTGTTGTTGCCTTGAAAATCCCCATCTCATCTCTGGAAAATCCCCATCTCATCTCTGGAAATGTTCTTCATTTGTGGTGGAATATTCCAGCTCCTCTCCTACTTGTCCCAGTCTTGACCATGAATGTTCCCAGCAAGGCTGTGTGAGTTTTTACTATGTTTTGCTGTACTCTATGGTCACAGAGCTGTCTCACTTTAGCTTTTAAGTCTCCTGTCTCTGCAGCATTTTCTGCCTTCAGAGACTGAAGATTTTCCAGGAAACCCACATCTGGCTTGTACAGGGATGGGTTTACCTGATCTCTTACTTTGTTTAGAGTCACTGAAACTCCAACATTAAGTTATTCATCTGTTGGCTTTAAACTTCACTCAGAGATGGGAGAGATGGCAGGAAGAGTGTCCTTACAACACAGCAAATCTGGGCTGTGATGCCCTTTCCAGCTGCCTGTCACTGCCTGATTTTTTATTTCAGTATTGTAGCTGGTTTGGCTTATCACAAATACTCTGCATTTCATGTAAGCAGGCTACACATCTTGCA